AGCAGGACGAGGTTTGATTTGGGGGTTTGCAGATGCTTCAGAAAGGGATGCGTGAGCCCCCGGGTGCCGGCACCACCCCGTGATGGGAACCGCAGCGCGGTGAAGTGGGGTTGCAGCCTTTGCCAAGGCTCCTCTCGGGGAAGCTTTGATTTTGCCTGTGGGAACCGAAGGCAGAGACCTGCAGTTTGCTGCCGCGGCGCCGGTCCAGGCCCCACCAGCACGAGCTGGGGGCGGGATGTGTACAGTCACGTTGTAGGAAGCTGCTGTCTAAGCTTGTTAATGGCAGCTCGCCCTTCGGATTTCCCAAAACGGGCAGTGCGAGCGGCGATGTGGACTTGGACGGGTCTCCTGTCCCACCCCAAGCCCCAGCGGACCACAGCCTGATTTCCAGGAATGCGACAGCCCTGAACATCAGGCTCAGCTGAACTCCGTACTGCAGCTAAACCTTGGAAGATCTCCCATTTTCCATCTCTTTACGTGGAACTGTCCCAAATACTCAGCCAGTGATGGAAGAGCACCGGCTGAGTTGGATGCATAAAGGTGGATACCGGGAAAATCTGGTCTTGCGTTCGCTGCTGATGCCCTTTTCCACCAGTTAGACTCGGGATGCGTCTAGGTCCGTCCCAAAGGACTTTGCCTTTCTTCCCAGAAAGTGTGGCTGGGTGCTGGGTCCCTGCCCAAGGGGAAGCTGAGGCATTGGTGACTTTGCAGAGCCGGTTTGCTCCGAGCTGGTATGTCCCATCTCAGTGCCCCAGCTGCAAGGGCCGTAGCTGGTATTTCAAGCCCCAGTCCTGGCCTTCGTGCAGCTCCCTCCCTACACCGCTCACGTCCTTCCCTGCACATCAATCTCTCTGGGCAGTGACAGCTTTGGAGAGAGGTAGAGAAGAAATCTGGTTTTTTGGCCTCTCCGTGCTTCTTTGGGTCGTAATTCCCAGGATGTGTTTTTGGCTTTGTGTTAAATTTAGTTTCTGGAGAACATTTTTCTCCAGTAAGGATTCACAAGGCCTTTTAGTGACTTGATAATTTGGTAGCGATGCTGGCGAGGATCCTGAAAGCAAAACCACTCGTGTTATTCCTGCGTGCGCTGCTGTCCAGGGAGCAGAGAGGCTGCAGTGCCGTGCCAGCATCCCGCGGGCTCAAGGGGCAGATCTGCTCCGAGCACTTGGGAAGCCACGAGTTTTGCTCCCCCTTCCCGGGAATCTCTAACAAATGCGTGGTAGGAAAACACCTGGCAGATGTTTAGCAGGTTTATTGCTTTTTTTTTTTTTTTTAAAAATGTGTTTTATTTGGATGCTACTGAAGCGTGAAGCACATTCCCACCTGCCTGGTGAATGAGAGCAGCTTGCAGGGTAACAGAGAGATCCAGTTAGCAGGGCCTGTTGCGACAGGACCAGGGGGAATGGTTTTAAACTGAAAGAGGGTAGATTTAGACTAGATATAAGGAAGAAATCTTTTACAATGAGGGTGGTAAAACACTGGCACAGGCTGCCCAGCGAGGTGGTAGATGCCCCATCCCTGGAAACATTCAAGGTCAGGTTGGACGGGGCTCTGAGCAACCTGATCTAGTTGAAGATGTCCCTGCCCATGGCTGGGGGGGGTGGACTAGATGACCTTTAAAGGTCCCTTCCAACCCAAACTATTCTATGATTCTATGATGCAGAGATGCAGCTGTGGGATGAGTTATGGGGCAGTAGGATGGCTTCAGGAGATGAGATGCAGAGTTTATTTCCTAGTGAGTGATTCAATATTTGCAGAGGACTTTCAATCTGAGGCACAGGAACGTGGGAACCCCACCATGTTCATGGAGAACAGATTTCACTGCTGATGGCCCCTGCAAGTGATGTATTTGATGGGATATCATCTGCCAGGGTGGCTTCTCATCACCCCGGAACAAACGTGGCCTCTGCCTGGAAGAGCCTGCAAACAGCAATAGCTCCTGGAGCCAAGCAAATGGAGCTGAGGCCAGCAGAAACGGCACCGTGGAGAAATGTCTGTTGGCACAACTTGTGTTGCTGAAATCCCAGGGAAACCTCCTGGGTTAGATCCCAGTCTCCGCTTGTACTGATGTTAACCCCGATGGACTCTGTGACCTGGTGGCATCGATCCTATCTAACATGGGGATAACCAAGCTGTTCAACCTCCATCTACCCAGCAAAGAGAGCGAGGACACAGGCTTGGCGTGGTGCCGGGCGATGCCCGCCCAGCCCTGCGGGGTGGCAGACAATGGGTCTTATTTGGGTGCTGGGCAAAGGGGCTGCTCAGCTTTGTCGGGGGTCGTGGACTGGCTGGGGACGGGGATGAGGGAGCGGCAGGACGGATTTAGTGGATGCTGCATCACCCCCGTCCTGGGAAGCTGCCAAGTGTCAGATGGGGAAATCCTGACTTCTCGTTAGGTGCACCATTGTTCATTTTCACTCATTTGAATGGTCTTTATGTTTCAGCAAGAGCCCTCTGCCGCTGGCTGCTGACAGGAGAGAGAGAGAGAGAGGAAAAATAATCCACGTATGAGGGCAGGGACAGTGGCAGGGCAGGGACAGCCCCACGTCCTGGTTCGGTGGTGGCAGCCCTGTGTCCTGGCTTGCTGGCAGAGCCAGTTAGTGACAAGTGCTTTGGGGGGGGTGACAGCACCAGAGGCGCTGCTGGCCACCCCCCCGCTGGCTGCAGGGCCGGGCACTGCTCAGCCCCATCTCGCCTGCCTCCATACGGGCAGACTCTGCTGGATGCCTCATCCCGGAGGGAAGCCCGGCACTGCCTACGTTACTAGATTAGGATCCCCACTGCAGTAGTTATATATAAATATATATCTGTATGTATGTATATGTACATATTTTAGAAACTGTTATGCATTAGCAAATGCCCTAAGAAGCCTTTTTTTAGAGGTGTTATCAACAGGATGTGCTTTGAATACGTGACAGATGGGTGGGAAGCCCCAGATAAGGGCTTTTCTTTACAGCCTCACTGTGCCCAGAGTCCCCTGGCCTTTGTGGGGCTCCCTCGGGGCTGCCGTACCGGAGACCCTTCCCCTCAGGACAGGTAGGAGTCATGACATGATGACTCCATCAGTTGGCATTTTGGAGAGCTCGTGCTCTTTTTTTGAAGTGGGTAACAAGCTCTTTGACATGGCCGGAGCTGGGTGCTTGGGGCAGGGGAGGAAAAAGCATCCAAGAAATATCTCCCAGTCATTGCCCTTCAGCAATAAATGAGGATAACAGGGCTGGAGCTGTTAAAATCCCACCCAGCCACATGAGCTGGGGAAGGTTTGCAGATACCCCGGTATTACAGTCATCCTGTATAACATTGTGTGATGGCTGTGACCCCCTCTGTGGGGCAAAAAGCACCTTAAAACATACAGTTTCAGGTCTCGTTGTACCTGGGTACAGCAGAGCATGGCGGGGTTTGGTACCACCATGCGGCGAGCTACGTGATGCTGGCAAAGCATCACTCCAGCCTGCGGGAAAGGCCGTGGTTAGTGCACTAACGGCACCCACGCCAGGGTTTGCACTTGCAGCCACATGCTGGCTGTGGTGTAGAAATCCTCGCAGGGCAGATCCTGCCAGAGTTTGGGGTGATCACTAGGTCCTGCTGACTCCCAGTGATGCCCCCGTGGGTGGGCTTTGAGGGGAGCACGAGGATTGCCTTGCAAGATGTTTAGCTGGTCTCTGCTGGGCAAAATAGGATCTGCCTGTGGCTCAGGACTAACTTTAGAAAACAGAGTTTTTATAGCAAGCTTTTGGCTGAAAGCTGTCTTTTTAATGATGAACATGCATCCAGGTTTGGCTTGGGTACCATTCCCTCCTGCTCGTGACTTTAAGTAAGTCACTTCCCCTTTCTGTGAATCTTTTTCTTCCTTTTTTTTAACTCTTTCTCCATCTCCTCCTGTCAGGGGGAGGCTGTTGGAGGACTTTCTTTTCCCTAAGCCTCAGCAAAACATTTAGCACAAGGGGGCCTTGATCTCACATTAACACCACCGGTGATGAGCGCAGGTAACTAAATGCACAAGCGTATTTCAGCCTGTCCGGGACAGCCTGGGGCGGATGGGATTTCCACTGGAGCTTCAGGGAGGAAAAGAAAAAAAGGGGAAATACTGCAGCCCTCATGTGTGCTGCTAACCTCGGGCAGGAAGGGGTGAGCTCAGCGCTTTGCTGAGCCGTGACTTCCAGACGGAGTCGCCCGGAGCATCGGCTCGCCACCCCAACTGCTCCGGTGTGCATTGTGTGCATGGCGGGAGGGCCGGCCGCATCCTGGCACGTTGCGCTGCTGTGCTGGGCTGCCGCTTCCCTCCTTCGGATGCGGGTTTTGTTCTTTTGAACAAACACACGGGGCAGAACAACAAAAATAATCCCCCCTTTTCCCATTGATCTCGGCGCTGGGGCTGTGTGAACCAGCAGCCAGCTGCGGTCGCAGCGAAGTCCCCGGGGCATCGCTTGCCAGCCGCCGCAGCAGGGTCAGGGGTTCTTTGTACTGAGAAACCCCTGGGAAAGAGACACTTCCCCTTTGCTGGAAGAGGAAAGGGCCACCAGGTTTGGACTGTCCTGGCTGGTGAGCTCCACTGATATCGTGGCTCTCGCTTTATTGCAGCAGTTATTGATAAAAGCCCCGGAGGTAAGAGGCTGGCTGGAGCCCGATGAGCTCCCGGCATGCTCAGGAGGGAGGAAGGGCTCTGTCTGCCATCGAGCTTTGCATGGGGTGCGTGCAGCAGCGCTCACCCTCTCCGGTGCCGGTGAGGTGGCAGCAGCTGCTCCAGGTCACCTTGGTGAGTGTAGAAGGGCCAGGAGCTCACCACAGAGGACATCTCTGTCCTCATGTGCTGCCACAGCAGCGGGGCCAGCCAGCATCCTGGTGTGAATTCGTCCCTGCAAGCGTGCCCACGCGTGCAGCTGCCTTCACAGGTGACCAAAATTTCTCTTTCTCCTCCCAGAAACCTCCGCTCCTGAAGACCCCAGCCTTGGGTTTCACGTTGTGCCAAGCCTCTGCCCTCACCCTGGCCAGCCCTGCCCACGATGGCGTTGTGTCTCAAGCAAGTCTTCAACAAAGACAAAACGTTTCGTCCCCGAAAGAAGTTTGAGCCGGGCACCCAGCGCTTCGAGCTGTACAAGAAAGCCCAGGCCTCCCTCAAGTCCGGGCTGGACCTGAAAGCGGTGGTGCAGCTGCCTCCTGGTGAGAGCATCAACGACTGGATCGCCGTGCACGTGGTGGACTTCTTCAACCGCATCAACCTCATCTACGGCACCATGTCGGAGTACTGCACGGAGAAGAGTTGCCCCATCATGTCGGGCGGGCTCAAGTACGAGTACAGGTGGCAGGACGATAGCAAATACAAGAAGCCGACCAAGCTGTCGGCCCCGCAGTACATGTGTATGCTGATGGACTGGATCGAGATGCTCATTAACAACGAGGACATCTTCCCCACCAGGATAGGTGAGTGCACTCTGGTTCTTCGCGGGAAGGCTGGGGTTGTAACCGGTGCAGGTTACAACCTCAGGGTTGGTATTGCTGAACTTTGTGATCTGAAGGATTGCAGCCTTTCCTGTTGCAGGTGTTCCTCCATGTCCGTCTCACACCCCCTTGCTGCAAATTGAGCTTGGGATTCCTCGCCCGGCTCCTAGGGGATGTGGAAAACAATATTGTTCTTTTCTGTGCTTGAACTTTTTCCACATATTCTGTGACTGTGAGAAATGAGGGCTGGTAGGTCATCAACTCCCTTGCCCCTCCTCAAGGAGCTGAGCCACAGGGCTGGTTAGAGGTGGTCATCACATCCCTGCAGCGCGCTCTTCTCTTGCCTAACCAACTCCATTTCTTTCTGGTTTTCCAGGTAGGTTCATGCTCCCAAGGTCTAACCCTCATCCCACCTTGCTGCTCCACTTCTCAGCTCCTTTCCGTCTCTGCTAATTTATCTCAGCCCTGATTATACATCACACATCTTGCTATTTAGCTGAGGCATTGCCCAAGCAGAGATGCCTGACCCAGGATCTGGCCCTTCCAGCTGGCAGCATGGACGATGCATCCCTTCAAAAAGTTTGGCCTCAGGAACTTGCAGCACCTGCCAAAGGCAACACAGCTTGCAAACTAACCCCTCCACTGCTGACCTGCAGCGCTTGGCAGCTGCTGGGGCCGATATTAGCCCTGCTACTTAGCTGCTTTCTTATAGTCTGGGGAGATGAGTTCAAGGGTTGGAGCTGATGCGTTGGGTGGTGGGGCTGCCAGAGCCTCAGGTCGCACCTTGGAGTGGTTGCTTTTCAGATAAAATGCAAAGCTGCTTGAATGTAAAAGAAGATTTAAGGAGCTTTGGGGGGAAACACCTGGCTTTGCAAGTCTGCTTGACCTTTTTCATTTTCCCAAGCAGCACAGCTGACAGAGCCATATGAAATCTGCAGTTTAGGCTCAGGATTTTCATTAATATGCTAGGAAACACTGAAGAAAATGGTCTGTGTGGGATGACTGGCTGTCACTAACTGTTGTAGCCCTGTTTGGCTGTGCTGTAACATCTAGTTCTGTGTATTTTTGGGGGAAGTCTCTGGCCCTCGGAGGCTCAGAGGCGTCGCGGCTCTGCAAGCAAGAGGGAAGCAGTGCCTGCAGGCTGCTTGTGCCAAACTTAATTTCCACCTTCTGGGATGGGGTGACCCCCCAGAACCCTGGTCTGACCTGGCTGCACTGGCTATGCCTGGGGTTAGGGTGGTACACCTGCCTTCCGGGGCTTTCTTTTTGTCTCCCTCCATCACCTGAAGCCAAGACCTGCAGGCAATAGCTGCCGCCTTCCCCTTGCTGGCGGTCTGGGTAGCGCAGTGCCAGATCCTCGTGCCGGAGGACAGGCAGATAACCTGCCTTCGGGGCGCACAGGGGAGTCAGCCCTTGGGATTCATCCGCTGCGCCATGGAGGCATCCTTCCCTCGTGGGCTCAGTGGGCTCCACACATCCCGGCGGACAGAGGAGGCTGGAAGTGTGGCTGGCCGACGGTGCTGGTGCAGGATGCTCCGTGCCAGCAGCCCCAGCTCTGCTGGGGACAACGAAGTCCCTGTTGATTCTGGCTGCAGCTGGGACCAGGCTCGCTGCTACCTAAGGGCGAAACGGCAGCCACAGGGTACAGGCTGGATCTTCCATTTTCCAAGGCTTGTTCCCAAGGAGAAGCTCTGTGTGCTGTTAAAAGCAGGGGCGCAGACATAGATTTACTCCATTTTTCCTCTGGCCAGAAAGAAGAGTGTCCTGGTCCAGTTTCACACCTTTCAGGAGGGATTTGGGATGTGATGCTGCTTGAAAGCTGCTCTGGGGAGTCAGGGCTACAGGGAGTCTTAATACTGCAGAAAGCAGGCAGCCACGGAGGGACGGCGTCATCGCAGCACTCTCCACTCTCCCACGTCTCCCTCAGAGGCACAAAAGCCAAGTACAGTCACGGCTCTGCTGGTTTTCACCCTGTCCCTGGCACTTCTCCCTCTGAGGTGTAACACATCCCGACATGAGGAGGGACGGCTGGTGTCTCTGGTTTCCACTTCTCCTTTCGTTTCGGCGTGGGGGTAGTTCTGGGTGAGATCCAGGCTGGCTGCAGGCGGTTGTGGGGCAAACCCATTTTTTTTCTTTTCCAAAGCCATTCCCAGGGTCCCTCTTCCAAGCCCCTTTCTTGGGGGTGGGGACCCTCACATCCCTGAGTGACTTCATTCCCCTTGCTGGCAAAGCAAGGTGCTTCTGGCCTCGCACATGTTAAAAGGGAACTTAGCCTGAGATCGCACTTTAAAACGCATGAAAGGCTGTTGTTTTCAGCAGGGGGAGGAGGGAGCCGGTGGCAGTTTGTCGTCAGTATGTCCCCAATTAACTGCCTTTCGCTGGCCTGCCTTGTGCGCTGGGTAATTACTCGGCTGCTCTGGCATTTCAGAAGACGGAGGTTTTTGGCCAAAGGGAAATGTCACATCCGCCCCTTCCTGACGGGCTGCTCCTCGTCGCCGCGCCGGATGACGGGGGAGGCTGGGGGACGCAGCAGGGAGGGACGCGGGGCTCAGGGACAGCGGCCAGGGCGAGCAAACGGAGATACTCAGCCTCCCTCCTAAAGAGCCAGCCCAGAGGGAAAAGACCCAGGGCAAGGAGAATAAGGCACAGAGAGGACACAGGGGAGATGTGAGCTGTTTTAAGGAGGGGGAGAAGTCTGACAAAGCGATGGAGGGAAAAATAAATTTCATGCTCTGGGGTTGAGGTGAGGCTCTGCAATATCAGTAGCAGAGATGGGATTTAGCATGAAGGTTTGTTCCACTCCTGCTCACACTGGAGAGGTCCACCGGCACAGCCACTCAGTGGGTGTTTCATGAGCTGCGTACATCTCAGCTTTCCCTCCTGGCCCCTCTTTGCCATGTGCAATAAAACTGTCCAGCACAAAGATTTCCTTGGCTAAGGCCACCTGACCGCAGACAAAAGACTTCTTTTTTTTTTCTTTTTTTAGAAACAGTAAGTGTTCCCCCAACTTGCTAACGTTGCCTGAGGCTAACCTCAGCATCCCTCTCCATCCAAAAGCTACAAAGCCTGAAGCAGCACATGATTCAGCAGGGCTCACTCATGGCTGTCCTGACAGTTAAGGGGGAGGTATTTCATGGGTCAGAGTGGGGAAATCCTTCTCCCTGGGGTGAGAGGCTCAGCTGGAAATGAGCAGAGCTGGTTCACTGGCTTGTGGGCTCACAGGGTCCTTTGGCATCAAGGAGGAGACCTTGGCTGGTGTAAATGGGCACAACCCCAGTGACCGGAGCAGAACTGGGCTGATTTGCACCACTAAAGCATCTGGTCCTTCAGCGCGTGTCAGAGCTGTGGAGGTGGGAGGGGAACAGAGCGACCCAGGTGACAAACACCTTCGGTTTGGCCAAACTGCGTGATGCAGAGCTTGTGCCAGCTCTGCAGCGAGGCCGGAGGGGCAGCCAACATCTGAAATGGCAGCTAGGGAGCCTGACACCAGCAGACAGCTTGTGACCTGGCACAGTTAACCAGCAGGACCGCAGCCCTCGGATGGCACGCTTGCACCAGCAGAAAATCCCTATGATGGTTTAATGGGGCCAGGGGGCTGCCAAACCCTCTGCAAGGGTCTGGGAGAGATACTGCGTCTTCCCCATCCCCAGGGAAATCCACCTGCAGGGCTTGGTCCCACTTAAAGGCTTTGCTGTATAATCCTTCCTCTGGAGCGGAAACCTGTTTGTCTGCCAGTCAAGATGAGACAAATCCCTGCACGGAGCTATGCCAACCTGATCGCTATAAATCTACAGCAGCAGCAGCTTTCCCAGACGACCCGTATCAGTTTGCATTTGCTAGCGCTCTGTTTCCACTCTTCCAACCAATGCAGCTGTCCTGAAAAATACATTTAAATGGAGAATGAGCATTGTTCCCATGCAGGGAGTAGAATAAATGATTCTACAGGTGTATTTTTACCAGCTGGTAAAACTATATCAGTAGATTTCTTCAGTGAGTGGCCACGTGAACAAATTACCACCTGGAAAATATCGGCTCCTCCCAGTAATCATTCTGCCCCGTGGTGCCTGGTTTTAGGGAGCAGCGGTGGGCCGGGGAGGAGGCTTGGGTCGATGGGGTTTGCAGGGCCCCTGGCAGTCGGCTGCGTCTGCACCAGTCAGCCCAGCGCCAGGCTGCGGGATGCACAAGGCCGGGCGTCCTACATCAGCACCATCGCGGCTGCTGAAACGTCTCTGTTATTAAATCAGTGCGGACGCAGGGTTTGGACCCGACCCAGCGCCGGAAACACCCTGCGCTCTCTGCCAAATGTGCCTGTGGCTCTAAAGAGCACGAGCCACAGGAGATTTTGGAACAGTTCTTGGAAAGCTTTTCAAAACTCAAGCTCTGCCATTCAAGCGTGGTCCCAAAACAATTATAAAAAACAGAAAAAACTTGGTGTGAAATTATCCGATACTTTCTCCCCATAACAACATGAGAAAAATGTTCAGAATTCAGCTAATTATTGCCGTTCTCTCAGCTGGCTATTTTTTACATGATTTGTCTTTTTTTTCTGCCTATTTTCTTCCAAAATTAACACCATACCAGCTTGCAGCTGCCATCATGCTGTTAGTTTTAAATGGGGCTTTAAAGACTTATTTTTGGGAAAAAATGAATCACCGAACACCACGGTGGCCAAAATGGAATTGAGAAATAATAACAACAACAATAATTCATCACATAGTTCATTGAATTACTGCTTTTGCAGAGAAAAAAAAATACAATTGCGAAGAAGCAAAATAGCTTCCCAGTACTGTTTCGTCATGAAAAAATTAAATTGGCTGGAGCATGAGGGTTAGGGACGGGAGAGATGGCAAGAAAGATCAAGAGCCATTCGCAGTTCCTTACCGTAAGCGCAGGCATTTTGTTACCTCTCATTTTCATTTCCTTTTACACGTGGTCCCACATGGTTTCCTTATGTTTTGAAGCAATCAGCACAGAGTGGGGAAAACAGACTTCTCGGAGCATTAAATCACATGTTGGGGTTTTCAAGCAAAACATGCAAGATAAACTGAAGGTGGTAATTCATTTCAGGGCTGTGAGTCACGCCACTCGCCAGCGCCCTGGCTGCGTTGCAGGGAGTGAAATTGTACCTGCTGTACTCTCAGCTTTTGCCCTGGCTTGGAGCATGGGTAAGGTCCTCCCTTTTCCGCCGCCGCGGATGGCTGCTCTGCTCCACTCCTCCTGGGATCGGGCTGCGTTTCCGCCCTGGGACAGGCGATGCTCCCAGCGCCGGCCGTCTGGTCTGTGTGCAGCGTCTGGGTAGCGCATGCCTGTGATCATGGGTGGAGAAAAAGAGCTGAACTTGTGTATAAATGTTTTTCCCAGCATCTGAGCGAGCTCACGTTGCACTCCGTGGTCCCCTCCTCATCACTCATCACGCAAGAAGAGTCAGAGGGGGGCTAGATTGTGGGTTTGCTGCTGCTTCCTCCAAGGTCGCTGGATGGTGGGCACCGGTGATTTAAATGTAAGGGTAATTTTCACGCCTTTAAATCAGCCCAGATGGGTTTTGTGGTGTTCTGCTGTCCCTTGGGGCAGCTGGGACCGGTATCCGTGGGACACGCTGGGATGGCGTTGCTGGGTTGCCGTGTGTCTGTAGGGCTGGGGAGGGTGAAACAAACCCAAGAAACATCACGCTGCCAGGGTGGTTTGTCAAAACCTGGGGCTCCATCCTGACTTTCCCCTGGCCCGCCACACTCCTGCTAATGGGTCATCTCAGCCACGCAGAGTCTGTCCCACCAGCCTCATCCCTTCATTTCACCAAGCTGCTACTCCTGCTCCTTCATGCACCACCTCAGAGATGGAGAAAGTCCCCCAAGCAAGGGCCACCACTGCCCCGTTCCCAAGTGCCACTTATCGGCGCATTGGCCACTAACGGGGTCTCTCTGCCGCCGGCTGTAACGCTGACCTGCCTGGCCCAGCCTGGCAGGGAGGTGGCAGCCCCAAGCTGCCCCGCACGCTTGGGGAATGGGCCCTGTTGCTCCCTGCTTGCTGTCGCGGTGACCCCTCCCAGCAGCCAAGACAGCTTCGACGTGAACGTACAGGGGCCTGGCTGCTCGGTTTCAAGCTAAACATCTGCAAGGGCAGGATAGGTGTGTGCCAGTACTGAGATCCCTGTCCCAGGGCTCTCCCCTTGCTGGGATGTGCTGGCTGCAATGTGCGCCTGGCTGCCGGGAGGAGGCACAGCCTGCTCTTGCTGTGTCCCCTCGTGTGCTGGAGAGGATGTCACATCACATGCGTTGTCCGCTGGACATCCGCTGCGCGGCAGCCGTGACCCAGGGCAAGCCGTATTTAAAACCGGCGGGGCAGCCGTGCCCCAGGGCAAGCCGTATTTATGCCAGATCTTTCTGCTGTTCTCAGATTGGTCAGATGCAGCTTTTACTGGAGAACCCTTTCCTTTCAGCTCTGGGCGAGGGGATGGGGAATTTCTCCAGCTCCTCGCCAGCGTGGCCAGTGCCTGCTGGGGCTGCTGTGGGTTGCTTTCTAGGTCACCGGAGATCAGCAGCGAGGCACGACTGCTGCTGGCGGAGGCAACCTGCTTATCAGATATCTGTCCTGCTTCCTTCCCACGGGGGAGCGCTTTGATCAACTGGCGCAGGCCCCCGTGCCAGATGCAGGGTCCAGTCAAGCATCCGTAGCCTGTATGGAGGGTCCTGGCACAGGAGGCGCAGAGGTGGCTGCAGCACGGGGAGAGGAAGCAGGACCCGATGGCCAGGGTTGTGCCCTGGGGCTGCCCCTGCCTCCCTGGGCATGTGTGCGAGTGAGAGGGGTGACGCGGGGAGAAAGAGCTAGAGCCGGACCCCAGTGACCCCTGGACCCAAAGGACCATCGTGGGTGGTGGTGTCAGGACACGGTAGGGTGAGGGGTGACCTGTAGAAGTCCATTAGTGACAGCCGGCCACCACTACAGCCTGCCCATGTCTGGAGGAGATGGCACACACTGACACCTTGTGATGGACACAAAGAAGAGCAGCCCAGCTTCACCTCCCGGGAGCTGCTGCTGCTGCTGGGTTCATGTGAAAGCACAGTGGTGGGGTAGCCCAGAAGGGTACTGGTAGGTCCTGGCAGCCTGATGATATCTTTCCAGGCATTAAGTATAGGATAGCTCAGCAACTCCCATAGTTGCCGATGGCCAGGAGATTTGGACTAGATGACCTTTAAAAGTCTCTTCCAACCCAAACTATTCTATGATTCTATGATTCTATGATTTATGCCAAATCTCTGTTCCTTGATGCAAGCAAGGGATTTGGAGAACCCAGGATGTAGCTGGAGGTGTCTCTCAGCTGCCAGCATGTCCATGAAGACTTGCTGGTAATATTTATAGGACAAGACGGTTCCTGGCTAACCTTAGGACAAAAGCGGTGGAAAACCACTTGTCACCATCTGCCAGCTCTGGAGGTGGCTCATCTAACAGCAGTATAGGGACCACAGATGCTAACAGCCCTGGGAGTCTGAAATCCTTTTGATCTGCTGTTCACTGTCTGATCTTATTTCTTTCTCAGCTGAGGACTGGGTTGAGGTTTGCTGCTTTCCTTCACTATCACTCTTCGCAGTTTGGCGATAAACTCCCAGTGGCTGCTCAGGTCTGATTTCTTCCTCGCTGCCTGCTTTGACCGGAGGAGGCACGAGGCAAGTGGGACAGGTGACAACCTGGAGGTAACAAATGCATCGCTGTCTGCCTGCTGGCACCTTGCTGAGTTCCCGGCAGCGACTGCTCGCCTCTGGTCCCAGGGAGACAGGCTGTTCAGAACAGCGTGTATTCCCCAGCCAGGGCCCGGCAATGTGCGCTCATCAGAAATTACTTATCACGATGCATTTTTCTTTATTGAAAAAAATGTTTCTTCAAAGCTGGTCTGCAGGGGCCACCCTAACAGCATGTCTGAGCCCCCAGCTGGATGGCTTTTATTTGCTCAGCAAATTCTCACTCAGTGCAAAAAGCTCAAATGAAGCTGTTGATAAAGCACCGTGTCCCTCCTGACTGCAGGGAAACCTGGAGCTCTCTCTCTGATCCCTGCCCTTATCAGACTGGCAGGCAAGGAGAGCTCCGCAGTCAAGGGTGCAGGGCAGAAGCAGATCTCCAGTACCAGCTCTGAGCTGCTGGCATGGGGAGAGCCTGGTTGTACTTTGCCAGATGTGAACACCTTTCCCAGAAAGTCCTAACAGGACCTGTTAGAGCCGGCAGTGAAACGGGTCATGCCGAGGTCCCTGCTGCGGGAGCAGCCCTGGGGCTGCAGCGTGCTCGTGGTTATGCAGAGCAGCGGCCGTGAATCAGTCCCAAAACCACCTCTCTGTGTTCGTGTGACGCTGAGCCGAGATACGTGTCCTCCTCCAAGTGGTGGCTGGGACATCCACCTGTGGCACAAGCACACGCGCTTCTGCCCTGCCCGCTGCACCCACGAAGCAAATGGAGACTGGGCTGGGCGGAGGGTGACTGTTTTAGACCAAAGACCATTTTCTGTTACGAGTGCTGCGATACTGAACCCAGCACCCGCCGAACCCTGGCCACTGAAAACACAGGCTCCACACATGATGCGTTTTGCCACCCACGGAGGAGAGGGGCATGGCACTGCTGCTGGGAAACAAAACTGCCAGGAGCCTTTGGGAAAAATAGTTTAATTGCCTAGAGAGGCTGATGAGAAAGATTCAAAGATAAAATTACTATTTTAGATTTTTTTAGCTAAGAGATTTGCTGATGCTTTCCACAGCGCAAAATGTGTGAGCTGGCCATGGCTGAGCAGAGATTATTTGGAAAGATTTTTAAGAGGTTATGTGCTGCATTAATAAGAAGCTAAGGGAGGAGGCTGGTACAACCGTGGGAAGGGAGGTTTTTATTTTGTTCTTTGCAAATTTGCATCGAATTGCTCAGGGGAGAGGAAGAAACTTCAGGAAAACAAATTCCAGTTGTTTCATTTTCCTCCTCCCAAAAAATATATTCAGGGTTTCAAAGCCAAGTTTCCTTTAGAGATTTACCCCAAACTTGCTGACACTGACTGTATCACACCTCTGAGATTTTCACGGTGATAGCAATGCATTTAGACAAGGATGGAAATGTAGAGTATGAAATTGTATCCTTGTGCGGGACAAGGCTGAAAGTATACAGCAATGTGTGGTGGGTCCCGTTCTTGAACAACCTGGGAGGACATCTCAGGAGGGAGCATCACACAGGTACAATGAAATTACAACCTAGGCATCATTAAGATGGGCAGTTTTCTTCCTGTTTTAATGGGACATTTGTTTGAAACAAGGATCAGGAAAAAAGGTAGAAACCCCACCTGTTTCTGATGACGCATCAGAAGTGATGTTTGAGGCTATGTGGAGGAAGAAAAACGGTATGAACTATGCTTTTGGTTCAGAGGACCAGGGAAGGTATCTTTTCTGCTGGGAGGAGGTTTAGTTTTGTTCATGGACCTGGGTAAACACAATTTGACTTACGCTGTGCCTGCACAGGCTTGTAGGGGAAAGGCAGGGAGAGAGGGCAGAAGGATCCTCTGCAAGATCGCTCTGGATAGAGCCAGGTGTGGAAAGATGTGGCCTCCTCCACTGGATGAGAAATTTTCTCTCCTAGGGCTACTCCCCAAATCCTCAGACCATGCCTGTGTCAAATTGCTAGTTGGGCAATGAGGAAGTATGTGGGGAGAGCTAGATGCACATTGCCCCGGTGTAGCTGTCACTCTTGACATTAGCCAAGGGAGCCCTTCCTCATCATCCATGACTGCCTATTAAGCATGACCGTGACATTTAAACGCTAGATTTTTTTTTTGGAAATGGTCAAATGGCTTCCAACTTGCTTCTGCTTTGCAGGTGTTCCCTTCCCCAAGCAGTTCCAGCAAGTTTGCACTAAGATCCTCACCCGCCTCTTCCGTGTCTTTGTCCATGTCTACATCCACCACTTTGACAGCATCATCAACATGGGTGCTGAGGCTCACGTCAACACCTGCTACAAGCACTTTTACTACTTCATCAGGGAGTTCAGCCTCGTTGACCATCGGGAGCTGGAGCCTTTGGTAAGGATGCCCCAGGGATGGGGAGGTGGAGGGGGTGAGAGTGGTGTGGGCAGAACACAGCGCTGGTAGATTCAGGTGGGGGTGGACTCTGAGCAGTGCAGTCACCCTCACTGGACTCTTTCAGCCACCCTACCTCAGAAGCACACCCATATTTTCAGTCCTGTAACCATCAGCCTTAGTTCTCTGAGAGAGAACTTCCCAGCAACACTGAGGAAACCCTGCACCCTTTGAAAACCCTCCTTAAACTTTGCCTCTGCTGCCATGTCTATGAATCGCTCCTCAGTATTCTCAGGCCCACCGGAACATAGCGTCCCTCTATACTGTCTTGGTAGCTCTAATGCAACTTGCACATCAAAGTGTTTCCAGCCAGTTGTGCCCACATGGCTTTCAGGGGTCAGATTTGAGCCCAAGTCTCCTCTCCACAGTCTTGAGTTTTCCTATTAGCAGACTAAGGTCCCTGCTTGAGATCCTAGCATGAATTACAATGAGGCTGCAGGAAGGCAGGCCCCAATAGGACATGCAGCTCCAGACAACAGCTACAGAGGCCAAGCTGGAGAGGCCTTGCTGGAGCTCCAAGCTTCCCTGCAGCCTCCCTTGGGAAGCAATTAGCCAGGCAGAGAGTGAGAGTCCTTAAAAACAGCAAGACTGGTGGGAAGCAGAGGCCAGACAGCCCAGGCACATAAACTAGAAAATGCACTAGTTAGTTTTGTAAGAGAAGCAAGTGTGTCACAGGCAAGGGTGAGTGTGGTCTGACCTAGGGAGGGCATGTTGCAATGGGGAGAAGAATTATAGGGAACCCAGTAGTTAGCACGCTGTGATAAGGGCTGGGTTGCAGAAAAGGCCGTATCCAGCAGCAGAGAACCAGGGAAGACCAAGAGGATCTAATCCCAGAGAGACAAAGAGCTGAGAAAAGTCCCAGCATGAGCTGCCTGTTTAGGAATATCTAAAGCTAAGCGGCTTTACTCTTCTGCTTTCATTTGTCTCAGTCAATTTGCTGCCCGTCTGCTCTGATCGTGATTTGGGGGGATGGAGAGATGATGATCTAATTAGGGGAGACTTGAATGACAACAGCATCTGCATTAATTATTTCGTAGAGTTTGATTGTGACCTATATTATCACAGTGGCCCCCAGCTCCACAAAATGGCAGCTCAGCGTCACTCTGTCCTCTGTTAGTCTTCCTCACCACCGTTCCTCATAACAAGCTTCTTTAGCATTGATATATAGCCCATAATGGTGTCATCTCTTTTGACTGATGCTTGCTAATGTAAATAATTAGCACCTAATAGCCAAAACAGAGGCTGACATTGCTAAATAGGCTTTCAACGCCAGTCACTCACATGCAACATGAGATGATTTATGGGTCTGGAGGAATCTAAGATGAACAGATTTTCCCATGTGATGCAACCAGGGTTAAACTACAAGAAAATGAGACACATTTACCTTTGGTCTATCCATGCCTCATTTCTTGGTGTGCCCATTGCCTGGCATCCAAGCCCCAAGCAGACCCAACCACATGGGAGACCTCCTTCCCTCAGGCAATGACTTGCTGTAGGTGTGTATGAGTGTGTCCTGCAACCAGAGGACAGCCGTGTCCAGGATGCAATGCTGAGCTGAGGAGGGAGGGACAAGTTGCTGCAGCTTATAACCAACTTTCAAAAACTGAAAGTGGTCCTTCTGGCCATGCTGTTACCCCAGGGAGGCTGCAGCTTGACACTGCCATCAGTCCCAAAGTCTGCATGGGTTAGGATTGATCCAGTAGCTTCCAACAGCATTTCTCTCTGCTGCAGGCAGGGAAAGCAAAAATGGGAAGTTTCTTCATGTGCATCCCAGGGGCTTTCCATTGAGCCCCCGGGAGCCTGGTGTGGCTCCAGTTCATTGTTCTGTGGAGCATGTGGGGAGCCCGGCGTTCATGCTGTTCTGGTTTTGCTTCAGCAGCAGTTGTGAAGATGCACAAATAGTAACATCCAACCTCTGCAGCATTTTATGGTTGACCTCAGTCCACTTTCCTGTGGCTAATTACTCTCCCCAGCTCAGGGCAGAGCACCAGTGACTTGCTTTGCTCATTCCCCTTCTCACTGGGCTGCACCATAGCTGTTGCCCTGCTCCTAAGTGTTTTTAAGTCCTGAAGGATTCATCAGCTGGTTTGACACTTAAACAAGGACAGACAGTGCGTTGCATTTGCCTTCATTTTAGGCTAAGGCTGCAGGATTTAGTTTTTGCAAGTTCTCAAGGTTTGTGGAAAGGTGATGATCTCTCAGTAGGGATGAGATGAACTATCCTTGAGAGGCTCAGTCTCTCTTCACTGCCTCATAAGCCCAGACAACTGTCCTAACCTTGCACTTAGATGGCCAGAGTTAGTCCACATGAATCCCATGAAAGAGGAGGCTCCTGCCTGCAGAGGTGCCTGTTCCCTGCACATGACTATGGAAGGCTACCAAGCATTTGGAGGGAAGATATCTGCAACAGGACAGCAGGTCTGAGTGCTGTATTATGGTTGGAGCTTTCTAGATGTGGGCTTTCTACTGAGGAGCCACAGTTTTCACATTTAGGAGTAAGAAGAAAGAAAAAACCAGCATCTCCCCAGCCAGAAAATGTCCTATTAGGCCCAAATAACTTAGAAAAATTACAGGGATTGTGGGATGAAGGAGTTCTTGGTTTTTAAGCCTGCCTCTGGCTGAATCTCCCTTTGCTGCCTCAGTTTCCCTTTTGTCAAGCTTCTTTGGGATGTGATTTCTTAGCAGTAAATCTTGGGAGCCGAGAATGAGAGAGATCCTTTGTACGGGCAGAACTAGTGAAAGGCAGTGATTCACTCTCTTAAAAAATCAAAAAATATGGGAGCACAGAGAAGCCGTGCACTTGCTTCCTTGACAAGGGCAGGTCACGGTGCTGGGCAGCAGCACTGGCAGAGGTCCAGCTGGTTGCGTACTAAGGCAGAGCTGTGGGGATTTCCAGAGTGTGATGAATGCTTTGGACATTTGGGGCCAGCCTGAGGAGCTCGCAGGCGGCTTGGTAGTCCACCGGCCGCCCTAACCCATCCCACTCAAGGCTGCTTTTCTGCGTGGTGCTGTGCTAGTGGGGTGAGCTGGATGCTGTTGCAAGAGGATGCTCACAGTCTTCTCATCCCCTCTTCTTTCTCCTTCCGAGATGTTTGCAAACACTTCCCGTTTGCAATGTGATTTTGTGGCAGAGCATCAGCTTTTCATTTGATGGCGCGGTTCTGCGCTCCAGTGATTTTGCATGTTACTCCTACAGAGAAGCCCTCTCTTTGCTACTTTCCCCCGATGGATCTTAAAAACAAAGCTCTCGGCACTGAAGAGCTGAGATTGTAGCTTCTGTCCCTCTTGGTTACATCACTAAAGGGCCTTTTATAGTATATATATAGTGTATATATAGTGTGTATATATATACTCAAGGGTCATCCTACCTTCCTAGTTCTACTTTTTTTAGAGTCGCACCCTTCCTTCTCCGCAGACCAGTCCTACTTCAGATCTATTTTGGGAGTACATTTTAACGTGCAAACCTTTCTCTGGGGTGCGTGAGGGGGTCTAGGCGCACACGCAAATTCACAAGCCATGAACCTGATGAGCCAGAGAAAATCACAGACTTTCCTTGCTGCAGCAATGTACATGATTTGCAAGCTATTAGTTGAGCTCCTTAAGGCAAGGACAAATACCATCTTCCACCAGCTGAAAGCTGGACACCTTCCTAATGCAGCTGGCATGTCACCATCCTGGCTAAAGAAAACAGTCTGTTAGCCTAAACAGAGCTCGGTCTTGCAAGAGGTTTCCTGTGGCCCTCTGTTATTAGCACTCATTTGCATTGCACTGTGACCGTGGGATCCCTTGCCAAAACCACAGGTCCTTTGGGTGAGCTGTTGTCACCTCCCGGAGCGAGAGCCAGCGGCTCCCAGGAGCAGCTCCATGTCCCGTCTCCCTAGGCAGCTGCAAACGGGGGCTCTGAGAGCGGCACCGCCTTGTCTGGCTGCTCCGCGGCTGAGTCAGGAGCAGGACCTGCATCTTTCAACATCTCAGCCAATGCTCTTTTCTTGGACTGCTTGCAAAGCTAGAGCACAGCCAAAATAACCTTGTGCCACAGAGACTAAGGAAGATGCCAGGAAGGAGCTGCTGAGGCAGAGCAGTTCCCAGGAGGGCTGGCATGGGAAATAGAGAAACGCTCCCCGAGACTCCCACAGTCGCTTCCTTGGGCTGTTTTTGGACACCTACCAAACTGCCTGATGTGTCACTCTACTAAAACCTGTCTTTTGCACTTACTGTTTCTTTCTTTTCTCTCCCCCTTCAATGCAGAAAGAAATGACAGAACGAATTTGCCACTGAAGCATTCTGGCAGGCAAACTCAGCTGGCTCATTCGGCGTCCGATAGGACAAGACACCCTGTGGTGGGAGAGCTCTTCCCAAGGACTCACTCTGGGCATTTCAACTCAATGAACTATGAACACTGCAGAAGAGCCTCTTCAGGCCAGGGCCGAATCCTAAGCTTGCCAAGCATCTCTGGACAGATTGTTTTTTTAATAGATCCCAGTCTCTGTTGTATGAATCCTGTCTTAGAAAGCCACTGACTTACTGGAGAACAAGGCAAGTTTGGTTGACTTTTGCACGCTCTGGTTTCTAAGACTCAATCCCATGTCTGATAACATTCCTTCAGCTACCTTTCCTCTTGTTTTGTCCTCAGCTACACTGATCTCCAAATGTTTTATTAGTGATTCCTGCCCTGTGAGCAGGTGCGATCTTAGCTACCAAGTAATGTCTGTTACCTTTCTCACATGCAGTGGGATTGTGATAACCTCTGAGATCAGCTCTGCAAAGTTGGTGACATTTGATCCCAACTGCCTTCATGTGGTTAGTTGCTGATATACCATTTTTAACCACGAGCTACGAATGTCTCTCCTTCTGCCCTAATTCATGCTTTACCGAAGGGACCCTTTTTCCCCCCCAAGGGATTTTTCACGGTTGGCAGCGGGGACTTCGTGATGTTCTAAGATGCATCCAACACTGCTTGGACTAATGGCAAGGTGGCCCCATTACAGAGAAGGTGAACTAGGGCACTCTTCAGTGTGATCAGCAGTCTACCCGAGAAAGACTCAGAAAGTGGTATAAAGAAACTGTTGCCAGAAAACAGCATTTTCAACATGTCAGCATTTCCTGACATGTTGTCTTGGCTCAAGATCAGCAGATGCTGGCTGTGGAAATTGTTGGTTTTCCATTATCCAACCCTACAGCATAGTAAATCAGGTGGAGAAGGACTTTAAGAGACATCTAATCTACCCTGTTCTTCCAAAAAGGCAAGATCAGTCCTTCTTAAACCTTTTTGACCTTTTGAAAGCATACGATTGTTACCTGGTCTGTGCCATTATTCCCCTGAAAGGTATCATGTCTCAAAATTTCTTCCCCTTCTGCTTGCAATGCCTGATAACTAGTGTTGTGTTCCCTGTGCCATTTTTCTTTTCACAGGAGTTGAAATCTTTTTTTTTTCAACTGTTTTTGGGGAGTTAAAATAAAATTGACTGAGCCACAGCATTGTTATGTTAGTGTTTCCTGCCCTTTTTCTGGGAAAGTTTCGTATACCAGACACAGCTGATATTTATAATCTGGGGTTTGCCCATTTTTGGGGTATGGTGGGGATGTGGCTAGAAAATGTAAATATTTAGGCCAACATTAAAGTGCACAAGTGAATTTTTAGTGCTCAAAACACTTATTTTGTTGCAAAAATCTATTTTTTTTTAATCTTGTGTACCAGATGTATATTTTTACATGGAAATAAAACCGAGCAAAATGGACACAAAACCACTTGATACATCATTCAAATATTTTCTGTGTAAAATAATCAGTAAAAGTCCAAACATTTTGTCTGTTACTAATTAAAAAAATGTTAATAAGCCTGGTGTACTTCATGCTTCCCTGATTCATCTGTAGTAAGACAGGCATCATCAAAAAGCACCCAGGATAACTTAAAGAGTGGATTTCCCCTGAGAGTCACAGCACTGATGGATCTCAATGCCATGTTGAGACCTCAGCTTGCATCTCAGAAAGCGGCTTGACATAGGCTAATGTTGCTGGTCTGCATCCTCCCCTTGTAGACTATTCACCAGCATCCCACCTGAAGGTATTTTTCCAGTGATGCACAGCTGTGAGTTTCAATCACTACTTTTTCCAAAGGTGTGTGGTTCCTGGGATCAATCTTGCAGCCTCTTCTTGTAGTCAGGAACCGCAGGCACAAATCACTGTGTGGTGCCGAGGCAGGAGATGACAACAGCTCTATCGGGAACCTTCTGCCTTCTTGAGGAGTGAGGCCTGGCTGGACTCAATGCACCTCTGGAAGCTGGTAAGGTTGGGGCTTATGGAAAAGCCGTCTCAACAGTGCAGTCTAAGGGATGAACTGATAGCAGTCTACAGCTACTTCAAGGTGAGGTACAAAGGTGACAGAAGAGCCAACCTCTTCTTAACAGTGGAAGACAGTGAGATAGTGACCAACAGCCACAATTTGTGGCTTAGAAGGTTCAAATTAGACAACAGAAAAAAAGGGTGGTGTGGTCAGCGAACAGATACCCAGAGAGGAATTGTTAACCAACCTCAGTTTAACAAAACTTGGTGTAAATAATGCCCGTGCACAGAAGCCTGCTTATATTTTTGTCTTCCACATTGTCCTGCAGCAATGAGTTCCACCAGGTAATTATGCACTATGCATTACAAAAGGGGAGTGTATTTTGTTTCTTTTTAAACACATGCCTGAGGATTTCAGCCCTCCTGCTTTGGTAGTTTCATGTTTACCTCCTCTGTACCACAGACCTCCCACAGATTGCTGCAGAACAGAAAGTGTTGATTATTTCTGAAAGAGCAACCCACAGACTCATCTCAAGCAGCAATTTAAAAAAGACTATAGAAGGTCGTCTTGTTTTGTTTTGGTATTTTTTTTTCTCTTCTTTTTAACCTAGTTTACCCAAGGAAACACAGCTCACGATTGTGCTGTTACAACTGTATCTTCAGTAACTCTGGAAGCAGTACAGGAAGGGGAGAGAGGGAGACCTGAGTGAAGGTCTGCACTGTGTTCTGCTGGGTGAGCTCAGGCAGCTTATTACACACCAGAGAGTCCACATGGGAGACTTTCACGGCCAAGCAGGATCACAAGCTCCCTGCTGGCTGGATTCCTTGTTAGCCATTAAATGCTGGGTGTCAAATTCTTCCTGTTAAATTAGTGCACGCCTTATTTCGTAGCATGGAAGTCACCCATATTGCTCAGGGTTTGTGTCCAAATAAAAGAGAAAAATCATGTTTGCAAGCACCCTCCATCCCAGCAGGCAGCAGCATGTAAGGGGTGAGCATTTTGCCCCCTTCATCTCCAAATTCTGCCACTGCAATGCTTGCGCAATGGAGAAGACAAATCTCAGACCACCCCCTTGGCCGCGGCATCAGCTGCTCTGTCCGTGGGGCTGCCTCCCTCAAGGGTGTTCCGCACATTCAACCACTTGCTCCGGGGCTTTCATCCCCACTGAGGGTCCCAGCCTCGCGGGTGGGGGGCAAAGGGAACTGTGCCCCTTACCAGGTTTTCTGAGGCCTCTTGGCTGAATTGCTACCACATTTATAGGGCTAGTAATGAAACAGCAGTGGATCTCTGTAGGACCATCCACTGCCAGAAAGATCTTTCTGTCTCTCTCCAAGACACTGAGCCTGAGTGCCTCCCAGTCTGGAGTGTTTAATGCCTGAGCACAGCAGAGATGTTTATGAAGCAGAAGCACTGAGGTAAGTATCTAAGTCAAACTTCTCCTTCTTTCAGGAGGCTGAATTGTGCCTATGAGGCTCCAACATCCCCAGAGCTTCAACAAACATCCCCGCACAATTTGAAAGCAGGCAGGAACCCTGGGATGCATTAAATATGCATGTAGCTCTCGTTAGCCCCAGCTCCCCAAATGACTCATCTGCTCAGCTGGCTGCCAGGTGCCTGGGACTCATTTGTCTCTTTGCAAAATCCCTGGGTTCTTCTGATGAAGGGGAGATGTACTACTGCCAGGATTTTATTTTCCTTCTCTGCAGCCACCATGTCCTTCGGGACCGAACAAAAGAAGAGAAGACTTGGGAAGACAGAAAAAGGAGCCACAGAGAAGCTGTTGTTTCCAAGGGTTAAAAATCTGTCCATGCTGGGAGATGACCATGCTGGGATCAGAAAGGGATGAGATGGGTTAACAACACTAGATCCATTCCTTGATCTCTTTCTTGGAGGTGGGGGAAGATGCTGGTTCTAGCAGAGAGTTTCACAACTAGAGGCAAGAGTGTTTCTCTTGAATGTGTGCAGCTTTTACTTTCTGGAGGCTGATGGCTTTGCTAGTACAGCCCAGTTGGCCAGATTCCCTCATGCAGGTCAGGGAAGGACAAATGACTCATAAGTGTCAAGAAAACCTCGAAGCAAGAGTGTGGCATTCAGCTCCCTGCTGAAAACAGACCCTGAGTCAGAGCTGAAATGCCAGCGGTGCGTGGGGGACTACTGCATGTCTGCACAGATGCAGAACACAGAAACAGCAAATGAGGTCTCTTACATGACAGAGTCTCTTTCTGTAGAGGTGGCTGCGGGGGAAAGAAGAAAATTGCCTGCAAATTTCTTGAAGTTTAAGGTTTCAGTGGAACACAAGCCATTCAGCTCCAACGAGGCACCTTACTTTGAGATACCAGGTGATGCCATCTGCTACTGACATCCATAGGGCAGGACTCACTACCTGTGTAGTCACTCAATGCTGGTCACATTTTGACTGCCCCAGGGTCTCTGGTCTCTTCCAACGTCTGAGCTCGCCCAACCTTTCCCCTATCCAAGCTGGCTCACCACTGGGGCCAGCCACAAGTTCGTCAGCAGCAACAAGGATAACTGGGATAGATCAGATGATACCCATTGGATCCTGAGCGAGTCCAGCAGCTCCATGACTACTGCTTCTTAAAAGTATCTGGCACTTGTTCTCCCAAATCACGTGTTTTGGTGGAAAACTTGAAGGAAGTTTGGGACTTTGCAGGAACTCTGGATTGTAGGGCTGCTCTTGCAGAACAGTCGGGTCCAGGTGCTGACTGCTGGGGTACAGGGTTGCTTCATACTCAGCAAGTGGTGGTATGCATTTAACATCCTCCTGCCAGGAACAATAATCATGAGGGGGAGAAAGAGGATCCATATTTTTAGGATTCTTCAATTTTTATGACTCTTCAGCCTGTGTTAGAAGGAGAAGCTTCACCGCCTTTTGGGTAATCCTCCAGCAGCTATTTTATTATTAAATTTAATGATGCTGTACCACCTGGGAGTTGCCATACTGGAACAGACTTCTTTGTCATTTAATATTTTATAT